AGAAGCTTCAGCGACCCTATAAAGTACATATATTCTTCATCAGCGTGCAATTCTGAGTTGATTTAGCCACGTCTGTCCGTCTGTATGTATGTGTGATGTGTGTTGTTGGCAATCTCTTGTTCGCAAAAATGAATATGTCGATCCCAAAATTGTTAGAAAGATTAGAAGTTTCTGCACACAGGTTGGTATTGCAAATGGGCCAGATCGGTCGGATCAGAAGCGAGCAATGGAGCGTAAACTGTTTAACAAAAAGTTTTGGATTGTTTCGTTCCTCCCAATTTATTAAAATTAGAAAGCTAAAACTTTACACATTTGCTTTACGAGACACATTACTCTCTACGCCCACAAATGGAACCAATTGGCCTTGCCCACACAAAGTTACGAGGGATTAAATTAAATTTTTCTCACTTTTTTGAAGTTTTTTGCTTATTTATCATAAGGCAAACAATACCGGATGTTTACAACCCTTCCGTACACTCCACAAATGAAGATGTATTGTCTGCCTAAGCATGGGTTAATTTTAACATGAATATGGTAGACACCGCGATTAATTTTTTCCTAATAATACCACCGATATGGGTGTCAAGTAAAGTATGGTGAGTAGAATGTGCAAAAGATAGTGGTGAGTATGCGAAATTCGGCCCCGGCCCCGGCCCCGGCCGAGTATAACTTTCTTATTTGTTTGCTATATGTTTTGTAAAATATCTACGAACAAACCCTTAATATTTAATAACTAAATTATTTCCGTTAATTAAAGTACAATAAATTTAGGAAAGGGAAAATCCCTCCTTCCTTTACCTCACTTTCCGTATAGACAAAAAAAAAAATGTAATTAAAATTTCAGAAATAATGAAGTCATCGTCTTTAATACTCTATATATCGAAAGCAAGGCATCTATTGACTGTTAAGCAATGTGTGCGCACTTTTGCACTATGTGCTATATGAAGAAAATGTGTGGACATGTACGCTATATGTAAAACGACTTGAGATAAATCTACCGTTTTTTGCAAGAAGCAAATCAGAATCACCTTGTTAACTCCATTAAGCTTGCCTTTATGTCTGTCCGTTAATCAGACTAATATTTGTCCATTTGCTTTGCGCTCAGCAAGCAATATGTTGGAACTTGATAAACTAGCACCTTTTGGGCCAAAAAGAAATTTTGCTGAATATCGATTAGAACAGACTCCATATAGCACTTAATTGTGAAAAAATCATTATATGAAAAAAATTTTTTGTTTTTTAAGATTTTTTAAGAAAAATTGATGAAAAATAGTATCAGGTGTGCTAATAAGTTTTTTCTGTTGAAATTGGTTGCTTGATAGAACGTATCTAACCCGTTCAATTCCCCCTTAGATAGCTTAGACAGGGGCCTTTGTACGGTGTAAATTTCAATTGTTTACAAGCCCTCATTCAGTCAATATGTAAAGAGATGGATGTGATTTACAGCATTGCGTTAAAGTGAAATATAATGCAGTTGAAGTTACGGAAATGATTAAATTCGCTCGAAGTAAGAATGCAGAACATCAAATAGTTAGACTTTGATTTGCTGGATCTCGTAGAAAAAATTTTATTCTTGAAAACAATGAAATGCGCATAGATATATAAACCGACTCACGGATATCTCTGAATGAAGAAACCAGCGACAAAATCGAAACACTACATATTTGTATACGCTAAATTATATAATTGTATACATTTAATTATAAGTAACCTACCATTTTCAAAAAGAAAGACGTAAAAAGAAGAGTTAATAATAACGCTAAGCAGCTATCTTTTTGATTCACTCACATTTCGCAAGCAATCGGCAATAATTTTTCCTTCGACTATAATCATCAAATTTTATATAAAGGAATAGACTGAAGCCTTCTTAAAGTTCCGTTCATATATTTTCTAAAGCTACAGTCTACTGATGTTTATACGAGCCACAGCGATATGTTAGGTTTGCAAATTATTGTAACGCTTAGATGTAGGCATCGAAAATCGGAAAAAATACTTAGATATACCTTCGATCCGAGCGAATGGCAAAATCGATTGAGTTCTAATTGATTCTCCGTCGTTCGTACAGCCATTTGTTAGCGTTTGGAATACGTGTTGGTATGTTCTATGCAGAAAAACAGACGCCATGTCAACTAAATTAGTCTTTAGGCCCAAGCATAAGAGCAAAAAACCAATCGTTTAATGGAGTTTTTAATTGGAATACTCTAACTTACGATTTTAAATAGTTTTTTTCGATATACGATATACGATCAATGTATCGAAAGAATGAGAAATTTATGAAAATTGATGTCGGGTAATATTATAACGATATCGACTCAGTCAACCAACCAATAAGCTCTTAAGCCAAGTTATAAAATGATCTTACCCGATCGGAAGAAACTAAAACTCCATATATAGGATCTTTCAGAAAGAGGTATCAAATTCAAAATGCTGAACACAATAGGTCTACTACTACACTACTTACTCTAATGATTGAAACAAATGCATTTTTGAAGAACCAAAGTCCATATACACCGTCAGCCTAAAAAAGCGAATCACACTGCTGTTACCCGTTGCGATCGATTAGATTAGAGTTTCCGAGTCTCAGACGCAACAGTTCGTCTTCTTTACATAGCTCAGTGTTTAGCGAAAATTTGGTTCAAAAATATCATGATTTTGTGTTTTCATTATTTTAATGTGTTGAACGACGATCTCGAAGGAACCATGATCTCGATTATATGTTGATGGTTTAAAAATTGCGCGAAATATAAAATCATACCTGATGTTGAAAAGTCATACCTATAAGATATTGTCGTGATACTGAACATCGACATAATCTTTACTTTGTATAATAATTTATTATGAAGTCCTGTCATCCACACTTCCGCGTGCTTACATGAATATATAAAATTTATATATGTGATCCGACATGTCGTACATCAATTTTTATAATCATAGAGGAACTTCATAATTATGTTGCAATGAAATATCGTACGTGTAATGATCATAATTAATTAAAGAGATTTCTTTTTGCAACACAATCCAGTTATGAAATGTATCCGATCTGATTCGAGTATAACTTGTTCTTTGTGTTGCGTAGTAATTACAGATAGACTCTTTCAAATCCACACCGATTATCTTGCGACAGTTTTTTATGATTTAAATTTCAAGTTCATTATCTTCTTTCATTCATTATCTCTTTTCCCAATATTCGACTTTCGATTAATTATGAATTTCTCTCAACTAAGGAGACAGATCACTAGGAAACTCGTCAAGTTATATATATATATATATATGAAATATTTGTAACATAAAAAGCCTTTCTTTGCGTCAATAAACATATAGCAAAATAACAAATGCCTGCATATTATATACACATAAGCCAAATTGTAGAACAAGTTATTAAGAGATTGCAAATATTTTGGCCATCGACTTCTACAGATAAAAATGATAAACAAATGGGAAATGCCAGGCACATAAGAATTTAATCAAAGTTGCGACCTTAAGTCGGATAAAAATTACTTTTTAAAGAAATCTTATATGAGACTGAGTTCGAAAATTCTTTTTTCCAGATTTTTCATATTCATGTAATTAATCATAATCAGTTCGCCTAGCGCATCATATGAGGCATAGACGCATAGCAGGACGGATTTAACATATTTTCAAAAGCTTTCGTCCCGATAAAATGCGTTCCGGACAAAGCTCTGTCGTGAGTAATAGAGTATATTATGCTAAATAGAGAAATTTTCAAGGTATCGTAACACAAAGATCTGAACGAATTGGCCATCGCTGGAGAGATTACTGATCATGGATTCATATTGCATTAGTTTCGTTTTCTCGCAGTGTCGGTCTTACTCATTATCGCCACGTAAATATTTGATTTTTCAAGCTCAAATTTGACATAATAGAAGAATTTTTCCATGACAAATTTGAACGACTCGACCTCATGCGACTTTTCATTGAATATATTTTTTACAAATATCCCGAGATCGTTATATTTTGTCCTATCAGGACTTTATTTAGCAGAACTCTGTTTTAACCACTTAACAGACTTTTGATATTATCATTTTCTTGGTTCGTGTCCTTGCTAGCCAAATATAATTTTTAATTGCATCGCTTCTATAATTTCGTATATATGCGTCGGATCGTGAGCATTGTTGATCCAACTAACTGATTATCAAATTAAAAAGTAATTTTTTGTTCGTGTCATTGGGTTAAATAAAAAAAATAATTAAGTAAATAAACTAACTAGGAATACAAGAATAAGCGAAATGAAGCTAAACTATTATAGTTTCGTCATTCCTTCTCCTAAATATCACACAGTACTCTTAGTCCCGAGTCGTGAAACTTAAGGCGAAAGAGAGAAAATGATTACTTTTTGTTGCTGTTTTGTTCATTTCCGCGAAATGAAATCCAGGTGCACTGAATATTGCACCCAAATAGGCAGTAAAAGGACGAACACAAAGTGGAAAAGTGTTTACCTATTTTCCCAGTTATCGAAAAAAGATGCCCACTCCTCTTCTTATTTTTCAATTCGCTCTTTATTTATTTGCATTATTTACATTTCTGCATTTCACAAGTCAGAATTTTCTCTAATCCAATCAGCATAGTGAGCTATACGGGCAAAAACATCAGGATGGCTTGCACCACAATCACCTCTAATGTAATTAGCTACTCCTACCAGGCGACCGTTATATACAGCAGGTCCACCTGAGTCACCATTGCATATACCAGTCGGATTAACTGGATTAGTCATCATGCACAACAAGGACTCATCAATACGAGGGTTTAACATACTACATAGATCATGAGATAAGCTGGCCATAGGGGTATATTTCAAAATTCGCGGCCTCGGTCCGTTCTCAGATAGACGACCCCAACCGGCAATTAAAACATTAGCAAAGTCTGGTGGATCGGATTCAGTTAAATTAATGGCACTTATGTGATTGGTGAAATTCAAAGGTTCGGCCAATCTAACAACAGCTATATCACCCAAAAAGCCATGGTAACCGGGGTATTTCGTAAACTCAGCAACTTGAACAATTACACCTCCTCTTCTCGGGCGTATGGAACCGGCACGAATAGATAGGTGACGTGTCTCCATGCTAAATAAAGAAAATATAATTCGTTTATTTCTTTTGTTGCACAAAAAAAGTATTGAGCTTACTCGAAGACCTCGTCATCGACTTCATTTGTAACGCAATGAGCGGCAGTTACAATGTAATTAGCAGATATTATGGAACCACCACATATATGAGTGTTACGATATCTCAACGATATGATGTAAGGAAATTGCCCAAGACTTGCATTCCTACCTTGCACTATACGTGGTTGTAATTGGTAATCAAGGGATTTGGCTTGCACTCCAAGTACTAATAAAGTTAGTACCGTTGCAATAAAAAGCTTCATTTTGATAAGCAGATACACTTCACTAACTGAAAATAATTTTGGGAGAAGTCCATCGTTTTTATATCGTTTTCAGAATCTGATACAAACACTTACGTAGTTTAGTAATTGTTTTCAGATTTCGTCCAAACAATGTTTTTCTCTAATTAAACTCTGATAAGGGAACTAACTGTAAATAGAAAATGTCGAAAATTTCCCTACGATAATTCTGCGAATTTTCAATTAAATTTTGTCTGTTTTGTTTTAGTAAAACTCATAAGGAATTTACAAAAAATCATTTATAATAAATAACACAAACGATTGCTTACGTTTGACGTAAGTTGAATTTTTCTTTACAATCCTCGAACCTATGACAATTTTTTACATCAATGACGTATATCGTATATGATAAGCAGTCTATTTTGTGAACTAATTTATAATCTCCCAATTTTTATATCCACCACTGTGAGATGTGGGGGGGGAGAGTGTGTGCGTGTGTGTGTGTATAATCACTTTGTTTTTTTCCCCAAAATATATGTAACGCCCGTAAAGAAGCTTCAGCGACCCTATAAAGTACATATATTCTTCATCAGCGTGAAATTCTGAGTTGATTTAGCCACGTCTGTCCGTCTGTATGTATGTGTGATGTGTGTTGTTGGCAATCTCTTGTTCGCAAAAATGAATATGTCGATCCCAAAATTGTTAGAAAGATTAGAAGTTTCTGCACACAGGTTGGTATTGCAAATGGGCCAAATCGGTCGGATCAGAAGCGAGCAGTGGAGCGTAAACTGCACGCAAATCCATTTTCTTTTAACAAAAATTTTTGGATTTTTTCGTTCCTCGGAATTTATTAAAGTTAAAAAGCTAAAACTTTACACATTTGCTTTACGAGACACATTACTCTCTACGCCCACAAATGGAACCAATTGGCCTTGCCCACACAAAGTTACGAGTGATTAAATTAAATTTTTCTCACTTTTTTGAGGTTTTATGCTTATTTATCATAAGGCAAACAATACCGGATGTTTACAACCCTTCCGTACACTCCCCAAATGATGATATATTGTCTGCCTAAACATGGGTTAATTTTAACATGAATATGGTAGACACCGCGATAAATTTTTTTCTAATAATACCACCGATATGGGTGTCAAGTAAACGAACTTGGTGAGTAGAATGTGCAAAAGATAGTGGTGAGTATGCGAAATTCGGCCCCGGCCCCGGCCCCGGCCGAGTATAACTTTCTTACTTGTTTGCTATAAGTTTTGTAAAATATCTACGAACAAACCCTTAATATTTAATAACTAAATTATTTCCGTTAATTAAAGTACAATAAATTTAGGAAAGGGAAAATCCCTCCTTCCTTTACCTCACTTTCCGTATAGACAAAAAAAAAAAAAATGTAATTACAATTTCAGCAATAATGAAGTCATCGTCTTGAATACTCTTTATATCGAAAGCAAGGCATCTATTGACTGTTAAGCAATGTGTGCGCACTTTTGCACTATGTGCTGTATGAAGAAAATGTGTGGACATGTACGCTATATGTAAAACGACTTGAGATAAATCTACCGTTTTTTGCAAGAAGCAAATCAGAATCACCTTGTTAACTCCATTAAGCTTGCCTGTATGTCTGTCCGTTAACTAGATTAATATTTTTCCATTTGCTTTGCGTTCATCGATGGTAATTTTCCTTGCTTCAACTTGTTAGTGCCACAAAATGAAAGACTATGAAGAAGAAACGAAGGCCTTATTATAATTGTTATTAACTGCATGGTCAATCCGTACTGCGACCCCGAAGGTCTAATGTACTCGCCCGTACCTCTTGCTCTCGAGTTTTAGGATTCCGTTAAAGCCCGCCGCCTTCTTTCGTTCTGAATAGTATATCGTGTCCGGCGTTATGATATACTCGCCCAACACTTGGTAATTGGGAGCTTACATGAGCTTTTAAATTTCAAAAAATCTTTTTTTTTTTTTTTTCCTGTATGTTACGACAACTTTTTGATATTTTCGCCAAATTAATCGGAATAAAACTCTAGTAAATAGAGAGTGAGAGAGAGACAGAGCGAGCCCTTAGACGATCCTACCATAACTTTGCTCTTTCTCTCTCTCTCCCTCTACTGCTGTTTCCATAACATTTTTTCGCAACATTAATTTTTAAAGTCGGTGGGCATGCTTACTCATAAGTGAATGCAGTGACTAAGTGAAATTCCACACACTTCTTCTAAACATCATTGACTAGAGCTTAAATGAAGAGTTTCTTGTTTTCCTTTGATCACAACTGACTTAAGCTGAATTTGTACTCTTTTTTAGGGCTATATTGATATAATTGTTTTAAAAGCTTTCGTTCACACATGAGTCACTCGAACCTTCTAGGAGAAGATATTTAGTTTTTTAAATTCAGACATAGCTGTGACGACTGATCGTATAAAGAGTTCCCGCAAATCTCTTCCAATCGGCCAAATTTTTAAAATTTAGTGACGTTGTCGCACTCGGTATCGAAAGAAGAAAATCGAATTCAATTGTTTTTTAATTTGCAATTTATTTATTTATTTTTTTTTTTTTTATTATTTTATTATTTAATCATTTAAGTCGGTATTGGTTCTAATCCACTTAGCATAATAAACTATATTGACAAAAATGTCCGGAGATAGGTCACCACAAGTCACGAGACTGACAACGCCTACCAAGCTACCATTGTATGCAGCTGGTCCACCTGAGTCCCCAAAACATCCACCATTTGGGAAATCTTTTTGATTTAACAAACACAAGAGGGATTTGTGAGCGTATTTGAATACCCTTTTGCATACATTATGGGAAACACTTGACATAGAAGTATATTGCAAAATATCTGGAATTGGTCCATTTTCATATAAACTACCCCAACCAGCAACAAGCACATTACTTAGATGCGGTGGAAATGATTCAGCCAAGCTTATTGGTCTTATATGATCAGTGAAATTTAAAGATTGAGCTAATCTAACAACAGCTATATCGTTCCGAAAACCGTCGTAATGTGGAAATATCTTGTGTTCAGCAGCTGCAATAATTATACCTCCTCCCCATAAATGCACGGAACCGGCGCGAATAAAGAGCGGACTTGTATCCACGCTGTAAGCAGAAAATGCGTAAATTTCATTTGTAGAAATATACAAAAACAAAAATAAATCTTACAAGTAACTGCGTCCATCAAATGAATCCGTAAGACAGTGAGCAGCAGTTACAACGTAATTAGCAGATATTATAGAACAACCGCAAAAATGTCTCTTGTCTCTTATCAACGATACCATATAAGGAAATTGCCCTGGACTTGCATTTGTACTGAGTACCATACGTTGGTGTCGTTCGGATTCACAAACTTTTGCCTCCTCTCCAAGCACTAATAAAGTTAGTACCGTTGCAATAAAACTCTTCATTTTGAATTCGCTAACTGAATGTATTTTTACCTAAGTTCATTACTTTTATATCGCTTTTAGAACCCAAGGGTGGAAGTAGTCATTTAATTTAATCATCATTTTTAAGCTTCATCTAAATTGTTTTCTAATCTTTCTCTTAATTAAATCCTGATATACTTTATCTAAGTAAAAAAAATAAAAAAATCAATATTTTTGTGAAAATAACTAATCGTTTAAAAATATCACATTTTATTTATATAGTCTTTTAACAGACTGTTACTTAGCTAAGTCGTCATCGTCCCAAAAAAAAAAAAAAAAAACGAGACGACTTCATCGTTATATTATCAGCGATATTTTCGATGACAGACGATCGTGAACTTTCGCCTAAATAGATAAATAAATTGTTAAATTAATATAAGATCAGTGCATCTAGCTAGGACTCTCGGATCTACTCTCTATACCTTACACCACTTACGGTACAGCGTTTATTGAAATGGTGCGGTCGTATGTCACACAGAAGGGCTTCAGATAGACTTACCTTTTATTATACCGATCAATCGGCTGAATTGATCTAAGCCTATCTGTCCGTCTGTCCATGTATACTTGTATTCAAGCTATCGTTCGCAAATTTTTTAGATATTCTGATGCAATTTAGTACAGTGACCCAAGGACGAACGTTATTGAAATTCGTTCGGATCGGTTTACTTTTTCGATTAGCCAATTTTGAAGATTGGCTAAATAGTAGTATGTCGGCATTCTAAATTGATATGAAAACTTTGGATCAGCTGTGGCTGTGGTTAAATTTGACCTTTTTTGTTATCTAGAAATTATATGACGATCTTTGATAAAATTGATGAAATTTAAATACTGAAAACAAGCTTAGTCTTAAGACTTGTTACTTGAACCATTTTTAATCAACTCTACAACAATCATCTATTGTTGATTTGCTGAATCGCAGAAGAAGAAGAAATAAGTATTCTATATATATAGAGCGATATGAGTGCGCATTTAAACCTGATAGGAACCTGCGTGATTTTGTTTTGTGCGTTTCTGCGATCCCTATTCAGCGCAAAAACAAGTTTGAATGTAGCTATAAAAAGTAGTTTCCGCAACACAATTAAAGAAGTATTTTTTCATGCCGTGAAGAGATGTCGCATATATGCACAAGAAAAAAGGCCGCATAAAAATAGGCTTGAGTGTACACAGTAAAATGAAAATAAGAAATGGAAAACAGGCAAAAGTTTGCATTAGAAATTTTAAGAGCGCTGTTAAGACATTAAGTGAGAGGAAATTATTACTCTAACACAAGAAGGAGCTATAAATATTATGAAATATAGTTATGGGCTTCAAAATAGTTGTCGCCTCATTTCCTTCATATCCCACGAAATGGCGTAGATTTATTATATTTTTTTACAAAATCTTAGATTTTATTTTTAATATATGAAAATAAAGTTTTAGAGTTTAAGTAAAAAAATGTTAGGTTATGTTATGATAGACGCGTATGTTCATCTCGCCATGATTTCTCCTTTATTGCCCGTGGGTTCGATACTAGTCTCACCTGTTAACGACGCAACACCTTACGTGCTGCGATAAACTATCTAAAGCAACATATAAGTACGATTGCTATTGAGATTAAATTTAAGGTATCGCAGCTTACGAACTGAGCTTACGGCAAAGAAAAGTATATCCCATTGAATTTGATTAATTGCGCTTATAAATTAAGCTCAAATCTTAACATGCCCGTCCGGGTTATATGACATAGCCGACTATATAATATGTTTGCTATAAAAGCCAAAACTGCACAAGTTACGATGAAACCTTGGTGCTACTATAACCACTATCAAGAGATGGGGATATATTCATTCCATTCATACCCTAAAGCGTATATATCCTTGACTAGAATTAAATTCTGAATCGATTTCAACATGTGCGTCTGTCGCTCTGTTTGTATGTCATCTGTTCGTTTGTGAATTGCCTGTGATGAACATATTTCTTTATATTATAAAAATGACATTCTCGCCATTAAATTTGGCAGAAATATTGAAATATTCCTGCAAGCAACTTGGTATTGAACATACCCTAGATTGGTGAAGGCGAACGCCGTTAAAGAAGGCCTCTATTTTCGAAAGGAAAATTTGAGTTCCTTATGCTAATATTAAAGATTCGGCCACAGCCCAATGTAGTTTGGTTAACTTTGCCTTATCATTTTCCCTGTATTTATTCATTTTCAACTCAACTACATAGCATTGGAAGGAGTTAATCTTACAAAATGATTTAAGTTAGGTGCAGAGATTTAGTTGTATAAGTTGTTTAAAAAGTTTCGTTAAAAATTCTGAGTCGGTTAAATAATTTATAACTGAATCCACATTGGCTTAATTTTATTAAGTGATAGCTTGTTGCGGAATAAATCGGACCATTGAGCCATTCAGCAAGGTTAGCGAATCGATAAAACCATTCCTCGGCTTTACCAGGAATGAAACGAGGGTAATGCAACGTCTATTTGCGATTCCCACGGTAAAGTCCTTAAGGCAGCAAGCAAAAATTGTTTTCATCATTTGAATCAATTCTATATTTTCATGTCATATTCCAACATAGATCTTATTAAAGCCATGTACAGTTCCCTAGTAATGTACAGATCATCGAATGTACAAGATCAGCGTTTAATAAAACCTAATCTGAATCTTGTTTTATTTTGCAAAGTTTAGCGTTGAAAAACATTTCTACACCATGAACCAAAACTATATTGTTCAATTTCTGTTACTCCCCGAAGTATTCGGTTAAGACTGAGTTCCCTTTCGAAAACGACAATTTCTTACATTTTCTCCAGCTTAGAGCTAAGAAATTAACTTAGCATCAGGTGGCTAAGCTAACTGGGTCAGCTTGAATGACTGCGAAACTAACGGCAATATTAACAGGGGCCAATATTTTCAAGCCATTTATTAAACGTCGAAGTCGTAAAAATTTTGGGTATAAGCAGCCAGATTGAAAGCAAGCGTAAATCTTCGCGTAAAGCAGTGAAAAAATTAAAGCTAAATAACATATATTAGTATATATGTTGAAAATAGGATATGCAATTTGGATTAGTTCTTGTCCGGAATTATAATTTACTTATTTTAATGTATAGTACTCAAAACTTTTCCTACAAACAGTTTGCGCAGGAGTTCTACGTCTACGCTCGGCAATCGATATTAATCGAGAATTGATAAAACTTCCTTAAATGTTTACAATGCTTTTTAAATGAAGTGAACAGACTTCCTAAGCTCGATTAAAAGGAAACTGCTTTTACAAATATAGTTAGTTGGTTGGTATGGTTTTGATAGATTTGCTTCTGTTATGTATGGATCAGGTCACTATTTCAAAAGTTGGCAGCCTTCAAGTCGGGCTCTTGCTAGCTTTACAGAGCACAGTTACTTTCGAAAGTCCTAATAACATTGCATGATATTTGAATTAGTGATGATTCGCGGCTCGAAACGTGGCGAGAAATGCTTGATTTCCAATTATACGTTCATTTCTCGGTGCAGTTATTTTTTCATGCAATAAGTGAATGCGAATGAAAGCATCGTACGCTTGGAGAAAAAAAGCGACGAATGACATTTATATAATAAATAAACAATGCTCAGTGAATAAATTATTATCAAAATGAAACCAAGAAAAAAAAAAATTATTATTTAAAGTAATCGAAGGGTGAACCTTCACAACTAGGCGATTGTGAATTTTCTAGTTGATCTACAAAGATTATGCAATATTTTGTTCCTTTTCTTTCTTATTTTCTTTAATTTGGTATTTATTTATCTTCATTGCCGAAGTTTCCCGGTGCTGTTATATTGCAGCATTGTTGCGAAAATTAAAATTTCAATATTCAAATCCATTTTGTCGATCACTTCATGCATTGAAGTTTTCCGAGTCCATATCGCCAAAATTGGACAATTCGAAATCGGAATTTTCGTGTTTCGTGGTGATCTCCGAATGTACATTTTCCAAGTTAGACAATTCTGAATCTCGGGATTCGGAAGTTAAGTTTTCCTTGGTGACATTTTCTACGTTAGACTTTTCTGAATCGGAATTTTGTAAATCGGAATTGTCCTTAATCCAATCGGCATAGTAAGCGATATTGGCAAAGACATCAGGATTGGGTGAGCCGCAACGGCCTTTGACAAAATTGGCAATGCCTACCAATTGACCATTATACACCGCAGGTCCACCCGAATCGCTGTTGCAAACACCGCTAGGATTACGTCGCTGAGGTAATAAACACAACAAAGACTCATCTGCAAATGAATTATACACCTTACATTGGCTATGAGGTAGGCTGGACAAAGGGGTGTGCTGTAAAATATCTGGTTTCGGTCCATCCTGATATAAGCGACCCCAACCAAGAATTTCGACATTCGAATAGTTTGGTGGATCCGATTCGGCCAGATTGATAGGTCTTATGTGTTCGGTAAAATTTAAAGGTTGTGACAATTTAACAACAGCTAGATCGCCCATGAGGCCACGGTAACCAGGATATGTTCGATATTCAGAAACACCAACAACGACACCATCTCTTTCAATGTGTATGGAACCAGCGTAAACCGAAAGGATACCCGGTGTTGTGCTAAAATAAATTTTAATAAATCACGCATTTTTCATTTGTAATTAATTAAGAAAATAATCTTGAAAAGTACTCGAAGTTTTCTCCGTCAATTTGAGTTGTAACACAATGCGCAGCAGTCACTATATAATTAGCAGATATTATGGAACCGCCACATATGTGACCATCAGCATATCTTAATGATACCATAAAAGGAAACTGTCCTGGATTTGCATTACTACCGAGTACTATACGTGGCTGTAGTAGAAAGCGAGAGGCGTTAGCATTCTCCCCGAATAATAACGAAGTCAATATTATTGCAATTATGAGCTTCATTCCAATAATTGAATATAATTCACTGGCAACCTTCAACGATTACTACAAATTCACTGTATATTCTTTTGCAAAAGTTCGAGGCTTTTATATCTCATACTCTCAACCTAACGGTTTGGATATACTATGACCTATAATGGAGTACGCTTTTGTTTTCAGTTTCATCTTCAAATTGTTGCATTGCTTTTGAATAACATGTCTCTGACAAGTAAACTTTATTTAATTAAATATTTCTTATTCGTAATAGAGTGAATTTCAGTTACCCATCACTGTCAGAGAACGAACAAAAATCATTATATATTTCGCAGATTGTTAACGTATTAGCTGAACTATCCGGAGCAATTCCAGAGCAATTTTATATCAATATTTGTTCCGAATCATTGACAACCACTTTTACGTTTGATTAGGTTTTTAGCATTTCTAGGCGGTTCACTTCCATTCACTTATTGCCTTTATGGACCTAAATTCAAAATACGTTCTCGTGATCATTTCCACAACAGCTAAAGGAGATTTACGCACAGAGAGAGAGTGCGAGCGAGAAACAGGACCGACCAAAACTGATTTGGACTTTTAAGGCGATGAGAAACATACATACTTCATGTTATCCTTAAATTGTATTCTCAAGTATTACGCACAGAATAATCAAACTAGCATACCACATCTTTTATGAAAAGAATCGAAAAGTCAAATATTTTCCTTATGCTAATTAAGTTTTTATTAATTTAAAAAAATTTTTCTTCAAAATTTTATTTGTTTATGAGGCGGTAATAAATTTCAAAAGAGCAAATAAAACTATTTATTAATTAACGATATCAGTGTCTGATAATATTTGACAAGATCTCAAATTTACTTACACAACATCAGAACTAATGTTAACGTTTTGGCTAACACAATAACAATACAAAAAAAAAAAATTAAAACCTTATAATCCTGCAAGGCCGACTATCAACATATCCTACATCACATATATGGTGAGTGTGAAGAGGGATTCGTTTTTACCGCCGGAACAAATTTCATCAAGAATTGCGAAAGAGAGAATCAGACAGACAGGCTTACATTATTAGAGAAAACTACCTTGTATTAGAAAAGGTGAACATATCCCAAACCATTCGGAGTTATTACACATACCCCCGTACAAGCTTAATATATTGTACACAATAAATTGTGTAGAATATAATACAAATAAGATTTCCATGTTCCCTATATTTGAACTGATCTTCATAATGAATCGTTTAATACTCCACCTAATCATAGCTTCAGCTGGATCCCGCTTTTCGCACACATGGCCTTGTATACAACGCGTGTTCATACGATAATTAATTATTGCAATCCTCTGACTTTCAAAAAAAAAAAACAAAAAAACAAAAAACTTTCATCTTCTTAACATAAATAGATGGTTAATGGATGATGCATTTCTTTTAAGGATGAACTAAAAAATAATAAGTCAAATCTGTTGTCTGTTATTCGTGCACTTTCGCAAAAATTCATTATACCTCTTCATTTGTATTGTTGAAATTATTGATATCATATTGATAACAGAGTTTATTAAATCTTTCTATCGAATATAAATACCACGAGATTTTCGCGAAAGCATAGTCAGTCAGTTAATAAATTGTGTACAGTTATCTAAATGAAGTGTTTAATTATAATTGCATTTGTTGCTCTACATGCGCAAGTAGATGCTTTTTTCTTAAACAGTCGCATAATAAATGGTCGACCTGCTCGGCCAGGACAATTTCCCTATATAATATCATTGAGGTATAATAATAGCCATGTCTGTGGTGGTTCTATAATATCGCGTAATTATATACTAACAGCCGCCCATTGCCTTGCGAATCAAATTGATGGAAATAGATTTAAGTAAGTCATGCGGAGAGTAAACTTAAAATTTATTTTGTCCCAGTATGCTGGAATAGAAGATAATGAATGAATTTTTTTTTAGTATTCCTCCTTCGCCTTTCTCTATACGTGCTGGTTCTATACATTTGGAAGAGGGTGGCGTCGTCATTCCGGTTGCTGAGACTATACAACATCCGGAATATAGTATTAATTCGTTGGATATTGGTTTAGTCAGATTAGCACAACCATTGAATTTCACTGAGCATATAAATTGTATAAACCTTGCTGAATCCGATCCACCAACGAATGCAAGTATCGGTGTAGCTGGTTGGGGCAATACAGGCAACGGGCAAAGAAGATCAGAAATTCTGCAACATATCACTTTATCAAGTTTAACAACACAAGAATGTAGTAGATTATATTCGAACATTCACGAATCGTCGCTTTGTCTTCTGCCTGATCCAGTTCTCCTTAATGGAATTTGTCATGGAGATTCCGGTGGACCAGCTGTTTACAATGATCAATTGGTAGGCGTTGCAAGTTACGTCATGGGCGGATGTGGTACTGCGTATCCAAATGTGTTCGTTAGTGTAGCACATACTATGGATTGGATTCGAGAGAACTCAGATTTAAATTAAATTGCTTCAATGTAAATAACCTAAAAAAGCCTATGAATATAACTTTTGAAAAGCAGCAAACCAAAGAAACAAAAAAAAAAAAGAAAGAAGTTTTGATATTATTGGTTGATTTCTAAAACAAGTTTGAAAATTATTCAAAGAGTTCCGAGCTCTTACCTCTCTCTCTATAAGAAGTTGCTCTTAGAATGAATGCCATGAACAAACAAGTCCGTCTGGTGTGTGTTTGGCTTGATAGGCAAATCATAACACCATAAGCCTGTTTTGATACCTACTTAAGTTATAAGCTTAAGTGCATCGAAATAAAAAAATACTATACCTGACGAATTTTTGTCCAGAAATATTAATAATAGCAATTCTTTTTCTTATGTAGGCTTTTTCAAAATAAACGCTTATATGGAAAATAATTTTAAGGACTAACCGATCCAACTTATTTTCGTAAATGATCTAAATCGATTCAGACCTATCCATCGGAAAACTATTATTTTCACAGTTACATTGATGCATAAAAGCAATAAATATATGTATACCTATAATCGGGCAAGGCCGATCATTAAATACCCTACACTGCTTCGCCTAGTACAGTTACTCGCACCTTTTGCTAATAATACATCAAAAGTTACACATTATTTCCATGAAAGCCCGTATATTGGAGAAACCCTTACACGCGGTGATATCGAACAAATAGCCCTACGTAATCCAAATTCAACAAGACCGATATCACTGTCAATTTTCATTACGAAATATTTGAAATTAGACCTTTTTACTAAAAAAAGATTCAATTTTCGCAGAAACGATTATATGAGATGGGGCTTCAAAAATTACCCCTAACGAACGAAATTTTTCATCCCAATTAATTATGTCGAAATACTATTACGCAGCGACTTTTGTCGAGAAAATTTTAAAAATTGCCATTTTTTTTCAAAATAAGACATTACATGGCGAGCGGTGGGAAAAGTGGACCGATCCGAACAATTTTCAATAGCGCGTGTCTGTGGGCTAAAGCACGTCAATGTACCAAATTTCATCAAAATATCTCGAAAATTGGACACAACTTTACATGGACAGGCATTGCAGACGGTCAGACGGACAGACAGATTTATTTTTTGAATCTATAAGCATAATAAAAATTGAACCTAACTTCAGCCCGTCTTCACCGCAAGTGGGTAAGGTATAACACGTTTTTATTCCACGCACCAAGACTCTTCAAAGTGATCTCTAAATAAAGAATTGTCGCTTCTCATTTATTACTCAGGTCTTCCACTTTCATTGCATAAGAAAATTTTGCCTACATTTAGGATTTACAAAAAATTGATAGAAGAGTCCATGCTTTTAGTAGCATTAAAAAACGAACTCAAAATGTTTGTTTAACGTAATTAAAAAAAAAAAAAAAAAAAACAACAACATAAGAAACTTAGATTCAACTATGCCCGCTACTTTCATTCTGAAATAGAATAGAAGATTTTCTCAATTTTTCCTGTATTGTGGGCGTATCCTTGACAAAGTTAGGCCATTTGTAATATCAACCTACGTACAAGAACTTCAATTCTTTGCGCCGAACATTTTTGTGATCAGGGCTATGTTTAGCAGGGCGATTAAAAAACAGACAGACGGACACACATGCCTAAATCGATTCAGAGTTCGACACTGATTAATAATATATAAGCTTTGAAACTTCTTTCTGTGTGTTGGCAGTGCTTTGAAAAACAACATATCCCTGTCTTTCGGTGATGAATATTGCTTGTGTTTTATTTTTTTTTTGTAACTCAAATGTTTATCCGCGTTTATAGAGTCTTCTAACCGTGACAAAAAAAGAGAATTAAATTTTTGCAATACTTCTGAAAAATGTGAAACTTAAACTATCTAACTTGCGGCAACTACCGGTATTACCATAACATTTGTGTTTTTATCAGCTTCCGACCTGAACACATAACCGGTCTGCCATTGTCGCTACCTGCTGCTATCCACTCATTATTCGCATCTAGTTCCCAATATCCCTTATATCATATTTAATATATATCCTCACCTTTCCAGAGTCCTTTCGAGTAATAGTCACTTTTAATTGCTTTGAAAGCCTGAATAATTAGAATGCAAAACAGGTAATCCAATAGCTAATAGTTCAAGTCCAGTGTTTGCACGCATATTAGGACGACTTGCACAAAACCCACGTTGCATAACCGAAAATAAATATGTATTAATGGAGGTAATCAATAGAGGTACAAAATATTTTAGATAGTATATCTATTTTTCTTTAATTCATTTAGCACTGCTTAACACAACACATTGATCGCTGATAGTAACGCCGCCACATAACTGAATGTAATGTTAACGATATAAATGTCTTGGAAGAAAAATTTATTTTCTTTCCTTTCGTTTCCGTTGAAAATTTTTGTGAAGGTTGACGATTATGGGTGCAATGAATTAAGGGAATGAATACAATGCCTTTGCTGCATAATGCTAAGAGTTAAATGAATTTTTCAATTACTTGAAAGAAAATAATAGAGTGGTACTAAAAACATTAGCATTATATAGTAACTCATTTAAAACCTTGACTTAATTTACTTAGACACTAAAAAAAAGATATTCCGAAGCATTGTTGCGATTATTATCTTATCACTTACTTCTTTTTCATTTCGAATCAATCGATTTAGAAAGCAAAGTTGTTTATATAAGAATAAACCGGTTTGCCATAATGTAACAAACTAAAAGATCTCATTATCGCTTCTACAAACAATCAGTGCTTACTTGGTTAAGAATCAAAGTAAATATGATTTCAGTCTGCTAAGAGTTGCAGAATTGCACGTGAGCAGATGAAGTTTTGTTAAATGTACGTTTCGAAGGCTAAAAGAGTTGTGGTTAATTCTTTACAGAGAGTTTTGCTTAGATTTTAATGCTGCTGCTTAAAGCAGGAAAAAAAGCCCAATGAAAGTGATGCCCGCGTCTTAAAGTTACCTATACCGGTAGTAGCAGCAAAAAATATATTTGTTTGTTTTTGTCAAAAATTCTTCATATTTTTCAGCTTAATTTCTTTAAGGACCGATCCAATTATTCCAATAAACTTCTATTATTTATAGAGAATTGTCAACTATGCATCGATTTCACTTTCGGTGAAAATTTCTTTGCGCCAGGATCAGGCTGTTTGAATCAAATAATGCACAACAACCAATGTCAGCTCAGGTCTACAAAATACTCTATGTTGATAGAACAATCAATGAACGCGATTGATAATTTTATAAATAATAATTAAAAATAAATTTTGACTTTACTTATACCGATATATTAGCCGGAGCGCTATACATCGAGATTACGTGCTTCATCTTGGAAAGCGAGACCAAAAAGCTTCCATCAATTAACGAAAGTTTTTCTAACCTCAAACATTGCCTGACTTTTTTCAGTCTTTTGTCGCTTCAAATTGTTTTTATTTGGTTTCCAATTGCTTTGCAAATTGTTTACAGTTTAAATTATGTTTGCTAAACGTCGTCGTGTGATGTTTTGGGCCACCTCCGATATACAGGCTTTCATTTCAAGTATGCCTTTGCATGCAAATAATGTGTAATTTTTGATCTATTCTTACCGAAACGAGTGAAATGGTGCGGGATGTCTAACGATCAGCCTTGCTTGACTATGATGTTCTTACTGATTTGTAAGAGCATTAAATGCGGAAAGTGGCAGGAAAAAAAGGTCAACTCTAACCAAATATTCCACATTCGTATAACATACCAAAACGATATTTTTCAATAGTTTTTGCCAGGAAACCTTAGATGTGGATAATATTTTTTGAAAATCGAAATTTATATAGGAAGTTGCCGCAAAAAATGATTCGATATAATTCGGTTTCTCATTTCGACCCAAAACATGTCATTATCACAAATTTCAACAAGTTACACAAAAGCTATACGCAGACATAAGAAGGATGAAAGGTATACACACCCGCGCAAGAACTTAATATACCGCATTACCATAAGTACTGCAACGTATAAAAACGAATGGATTGAAAACTATGACTTCTTAAAAACAGTAAATGCACTAAGTGACAATTTGTACTCAAATTACGAACAGAAATATTTTTATACACATCTTAAAGATCATAGTTTTCTGGCACGGATAAATTGCTTACTCTTCCTCTTACACAACAACCAGAGCATGCTTATGGCAGGTATTGCGCAATGAAATGAATTATTTTTTTGTTTAAAAAAAAAAACATTGTGTGCATGCGAAGCAGACCAAAGAGATAAGAATCTTATCACGTAGATGTGTTGGATTTGCGATGTTTTCAAAAATTTTGATAATTTAACACCAATCGAACACAAGCTCCAAATTTGTTAATATGACTTAATTACCTCAGTTGACCCTATTGAGATTATGCGATAATACTAATAGCGTAGTAGAACCATTGCATGGTATTATCGCACATATCAGTTCTGAAGGCGATCTTGACAGAAGCTTATAAAAGCCAAATATTTGAAAGCAGTTGAAAGCAGAGCAACTTAGTTTTTTTTATTCACTAATTTTTCATATTTTCAATAATCCAATCGTAATGATGAGATACTTTAGCATATCCGTCGGGATTCGCCGAACCACAGCCGTTCATAACAAAACTGGCCACACCCACCAATTTACCCTTATAGGTAGCGGGTCCACCTGAGTCACCGTTGCATACACCATGATTAGATCCATGAGCTAAGCAAATCAAGGCATCAATATTAGGCTGCAAATCCTCGAAGTAGGGTGTACACTCCTCAGTCGTCATAGCTTTTAAAGTAGTCCATTGCAAATGATCCGGTATGGGACCATTATTGTATAAACGACCCCAGCCAGAAACAATAATATCTCCTCCCGAAGGCACTTCTTTTGTGGCTAATTCTATGGGTTGAATATGATCGCAAAACTCTAATGGTTCTTCAAGCTCCAGTAAAGCCAAATCATGAACGAAATTGCCGTAATTTTCATTCACCACTATACGTTTAATTTTCAATAGTTTACCGCCTTCCGAATAATCGACACTACCAGCACGTATTTGTAGAGATGATGGCGGACGACTGAAAGTATATATGTATATATATATATATATATATATAGATATATATTTATATATGTATGTGTGCGTGTGCATGTGATAGGCAAATTAAATTAGATATACGGGATCTTACACTTCATTGCCAACCAGGACACAATGAGCTGCCGTTAAAACAAAACGTTCATTAAGTATGGAACCGCCGCAGGTATGAGCACCATTAGAATGTTGTAAGGAAATTTGATATTTAAATTGTCCGTCTTCGGCGTCAGTACCACCTACAACACGTCCGCTGGGTACAGCTTTTGCAAAAGCAAGAACCGTTACAAACAATGCAATTACGCTTAAAATTCGAACCATACTGTGAGCCCTTAATAGAATAACTTTTGTGCTTAATAGCGTTACCCCATTTATATATATATACGAAAGACGAAATGCCCTTATGCGCAGTTCATAACTGGGCGTTCGGTTAACAAATTTTACAAAAATTTATTACAATTTCTTGCAATTTAATCTTATCAGGGCATTAACAAGTTTTCTGCCGCAACCATTGATTCGCAGTTTAAAGCGTAATAGGGGTATTAGTTCCGCTGTCAATCATATAGGATTATAAAACTTTAAATGTCATTTAGTTAATATAATACAAAAATTTCAAAAAATATTATTTAGCAATAGAATCTTTTGAAATCGTTTTGAACATTACTTTGGACATTTTGCAATAAACACCATCAGAAGTTTGAGTTAATTAATTGAGATATTAGTAATAATTTCTTCTTAGGAGATATCTTATGGTTAGAGCAGGTATCAGACAACAGTATTTTTCTACGATTGATTTAAACATATTCGCAATTAAATGAAAATGAATCTCAGGCAATCATCAAGCATGATTATCAATTTTTCAATCATTTAATCAATAATCGTAAGTAAGAACGAACGCTCGCTATCTTTGCTAAATTTTATCAAAGCCGCATCACTGCTATAATATACCCGAGATCATTATGAAGACTTGATTTTAAAGTAGAAGATTTTCAAAAAATTTTTTATTTTCCTTTCATTTTATTATCTCTTTAGATATAAAAATTTATTATTCTTTTATTTTATTATATCGCCGCCGAAGCAATACAGACTCTTCTATGCTTTTCGCCCTTTTCGCATTCTTTGCGCTGTCCGACAAAGGAAGGATAATATTTACCGAGCTTTGGCGAAAGAATGAAGATCAACACTGAAATCATTCACAATTGTTACTAAACTGAAGAGCCGTCAATTATTTAGTTTTGATGTTATTATGTTTGGTTCAAAAAAATTTTTATTTTTATATATAGATATAATTCCTATATCTAGTTAACCTTCGAAAGGAGATGAAAAAGCGTTCTTCTTATAACAATTCGACAGCAAACTGAATGTACGTAATTTCGTGAACGATAAAATCAAAGCAGAGTTAAATACTAATCTTCACTTTTCACGATCACGACTCTCTCAATCGTTTTCGAGTAGTGGCATTTGTCACTTTTCTCGAAAATGCAACATACGCCAATGCATATTTTACTTTGCAACGTGAAATGTTGTCTGGAGTGCGTCCTTTAATACGCATTCTAGCAGCCTTTGATAGCCATGCAATTTGACGACATGCGGCGACAATGCTTTCGGCAGAAAGCAGCGGCTAGTGAGAATAGCTTGAATGACGAAGTTATTGTCTTGATCCTTCCAATCGTTCATAATTGTAATCCTTTTGCATGCAAGAACTGTCTAAATATATTGCGCTGCGGTGGTGAAATTTTTGAACCTATAAAACAGCGATTCGTGGGTAAAGAGAGTGCGTCAGGAAGACCTACTTTGGCGTACTTCGACTTGAAACTGCGAGACTTAGATCAGCTGTGAGCATCTTCTAAAATCTATGGATAGAGTACATAAGTAGTATGAAATGGAGATCAAAAGTTAGGTGTTTTATTTCTTTCGCATATCTAGCAATTCCTTTAAGTCGTAATGTACCGATAGCGTGCCATTCATAACAATTAAATGATATCTTTAACTTTGAATGCAATCTCTCATCACAATTTGCTGCGAAATTTATGGGACTAAACTTGACGAAAGGAACACGTCGAGATCAGGGACAATATACTATTGGCGTTAATGAGGCGGAAAAGAACTTACTTCCTTATGCAGGAAAGCTGTTTCCAATTACGCTTTCAGCTTCGTGCAATCATTAAATCCGCAACCTGTTATTGTATTGTATATGTACTCCAAGCTCGTCTCATGTACAATATTTTCATTTATTTATTTATTTATTTATTTATTTTTTTTTTATGCGTGAAACAGATCACATGCATACATATAAGCTTTCATAAATGGTGCTCCTTGTGCTCTTTAGCATCTATATATCGTTGCATCTCGGCCTTTACGTTTTCTGTCGTCTATTATGATTTACTAGGTTTCAAGTAATTTTGCGTTAATTATAGCGAAAATTGAAATGTTTAGCTAATCGTATATAGCTCTTGTTTATACGATTAAAATGTTTTACGGTAATTAATATGAAATTTTTGTAATTATTTGACTAATCATACCATCCATCATACATATGCAAGTGTGGGTTTTTAGCACGTGCTGGAAACCGCTTTATTGAACATTCGTTCACAATGTCAACGTACTCTCGACTAGCTTGGATAAGTTTGTAATGCGTTAAGAGAAAAAATGTAGTTTTAAAAGAGGTCCTTGACTTGTATTGTATTCACACGAAACTATTTGGGTTTTTTGTTGATTGTTTTGTGTGAGGAAGCCTTTTATTACATTGAATTCCATAGTTTGTAGCAGCAGATAATTAACTAAAAAAGAAATTTTCTTTCTTGCTTTCTTCCGCAGTTCGCAATTTCCCTGTTATCTTAATATTCGAATAAAGCGCACAATGGCGAAATGGCTTAACACAATTGTGGCGCTTCTTATTTTAAATATCTTCTCCTCGAACATTATAATAATTTTTGCTCAAACCGCAACATCGTTAAGTAATAATTTAGAGCCGGAGCCATCACTGCCAGAACCTAGAGCTTATATACCGAATGAAAATAATTTAGATTTTGTTTATCACAGTCATGAAGAATTGACCAAATTCTTAAGGTATGTTATGTTCAATTCAAAATAACAATAAATAATTAAAAATTTCAAAATTTGTTTTTTTTCTTTTTCTGTTCAAATGGGCAGAGCCACTAGTGCTCGTTATCCAAATCTAACGGCCTTATATTCAATTGGCAAATCTATCCAAGGTAAAGATTTATGGGTGATGGTAGTCTCCTCATCGCCCTATGAACATATGCTGGGTAAACCGGATGTTAAATATGTGGGCAACATTCATGGCAACGAACCGGTTGGCCGTGAACTCTTACTTCATCTAATACAATATTTAGTAACAAGCTACGAAACAGATCAATACGTACACTGGCTCTTGGATAACATGCGTATACATATTCTGCCTTCTATGAATCCAGATGGTTTCGCTGTTGCAAAGGAGGGCGCCTGCGAAGGTGGCCAGGGAAGGTATGTGATAATAACTTTTAAAATCATAAAATATATATGTTAATTGTACAATGTTTCGATGTTGATTAGATACAATGCTCGCGGCTTTGATTTGAATCGCAATTTTCCCGATTATTTTAAGCAGAATAATAAAAGGGGTCAACCCGAAACCGATTCAGTAAAAGATTGGATTTCAAAAATACAATTTGTCTTAAGCGGTAGCTTGCATGGCGGCGCCTTGGTGGCGAGCTATCCGTACGACAATACACCAAATGCTAGTAAGTATAATACGCACATCATTTACAATTTTCATTATCATCAAATAAGACGAAAATCCATTAGTTAACAGCGATACTCAAATTTTTTCTGATAAATATTAAAGTTAAATAAAAACCGATACGTAATTTAATCGTGCATTGAAGTCTTTAATTAAGTAATAGACGATTACTTGTATTACTACTAATTAGATCGAATTTGAGGATCGCTGCCGTAAAGACAAGGCGAAAAAAATTGACAAAAAAAAAAAGGATACACGCAGCCAAGCTCAAGCAGCCATTCATTACAAATCATTTTGTCATAGCATAACCGTAAAGATATTCGTTTAGTTTCTCTAGAAATCTTGTTGTATAAAGTTATGTTTCAACTTTTTAATTAACAACTAATATGGCGGCTAAAAGGAATTTGTAGATCATCAGCATTATGCGCCAGTGAGTAGTTAGTTAACCATAAGATTTTATAGATCTTGAAGAAAGCTATTAAGAAGCATGTTACGAAAGAAGTCTCAACGAGAAGCAACATTTTGATATGCGTTTTATTTTTATTTTTTTCTTTCTTCTTTTATTATCATTTTCTTTCATACTACATGTCCTTTGGGTGCAGTGTTTCAAACTTATGCCGCGTCGCCTTCTTTGACACCGGATGACGATGTCTTTAAGCATTTGTCTTTAGTTTATGCTAAAAACCATGCTAAAATGTCACGGGGTGTAGCCTGTAAATCGGCTACACCAGCTTTTGAAAATGGTATTACGAACGGTGCCGCCTGGTATCCGTTGACCGGTGGCATGCAGGATTATCAATATGTCTGGTATGGTTGTATGGAAGTTACTTTGGAAATCTCATGCTGTAAATATCCACCCGCTTATGAATTGCGTAAATACTGGGAAGATAATCAATTGGTAAAAAAAAAAAAACCAAATTAAACGATATGACAAAGAAAAATTCTCAAAAACTTTTTTTCAGTCTCTAATCAAATTCCTGGCTGAGGCGCATCGCGGTGTCCAGGGTTTTGTTTTGGATAGCAGTGGTACACCCATAGAAAGAGCTTCATTAAAGGTTAAGGGCCGTGATGTCGGCTTTCAAACTACTAAATATGGCGAATTTTGGCGCATTCTATTACCTGGTTATTATAAATTGGAGGTAAAATTTAAAAGAGAAACAAACATTTCTACACTTTTAAACCCACCGCCGGAACATAATAGATATGCTTTCGGGATCGAAAAATACAGTGGACTTTGCATTTATGTGTCACGGGTACTATCAAATCATGAAGTTATTTTTAGCTTTTTTTTTTTGCATTTTTCATTTTTGTGGGTGGGTTGATAGCATCGTTTTCGACATTAACATAGAGTTTTATGTCAATATATTTAATGGCTGCAGAGTTACACGTGCGGATGTAAACACACAAGTATGAGTTTTTTCGATTTTATATTTTGTCCGTTTTTGTCGAGCAAAGATTTTCTCCACCATTTTCTTTTCGCGAAATAAATAAATACTCTTGCGCGAAAACGTTGAAAACTTTATAGAAGACTTTTCAAAACGTACGACGACCGTTAATATCTACCGACGGAAGCTATGTCAAGAATATTAAAAATTTGATCATCAAAATTCGTCGATTGACAATTAAATATCTTACTGATGTTATGAGCATTCAATCTGGATCAACCCAAATCATAATACCCTACGCACGTACCATGCAAACGTGTTTCATTATACCGATCGATTTAGAAAATAATTCGAAGCTTTTCTTTTTATAAAAAAATGCATCTTTCTCACCTTTAAATTCTGAATCAATTTAATAATTTCCGGATGTTTGTAACTTGTAACTAGCACTGCAGAGCTTACTCAAAGACTTTATGACTGCTATTACGAATTTTTATATAGTCCATCCAAGGTGGAGGGTATTAAGACTTCGTCTAAGGGACGAATATCGTTTTTGCATTTGTTATTGCTGAGATTATATTAACAAATGTCTTAAAATAGATTTTTGCTGAAGGCTTTGCGCCACGTGAAATCGAATTTGTCGTAGTTGAACAACATCCCACATTACTTAATGTTACCTTACAACCGGCAAAGGTTAGTACAAATATAATATCAATGAATATGCAAAAAAATTTTTATTTCTTAAGTAAATAATTTTAATAATAATAATCATAATAATAAAATGCATGTTAGCATCCAAACAAAATTTTCTAAAAATATTCTAATTTCTTTTTCTCTATATAATCCTTTCTTTATTCTTGAAATTTATTTATTTAATTTATTATTATACTATGATTCCTCTAGCATTTAACTGCTACGCCCATTTTTAGAACCACAACAATAAGGATAGAAACTAAACGTATGAAATAAATAAATAACCCTTTCCAATTTGTTTATGTGGTGAATAGCTTGCGAACAATTTTTAGTAAAATTTGGTAAAATTTACTTATTTACATAAATAATTTTTATTTTTTTTTTATTTTTGTTTTTTTCTTTTTTTTTTTCCTTCTCTGATTAACATTCAAGTAGATTCGAGTGTATGACTATAAATATTTACTAAACAAATTAAAAAAAAAAAAAGAAAAGAAAAACATATTTCTATTATATAATTAATTCACTTTGAAATTTGTAAGTATTTAACAAATTAACCGTTTCGTCGTATTTAACATACATTTTTGTAAGTGTAGTATTTTTATCTTTAAAAAAAATTCGTAACATAATTTTCGGCTTTTTTATTTAATAACAAAAACGTATTCGACATATATTTTGTTATAAAAAAAAACAAAAAAAAACAAAAAAAAAAATCTCTTTTTAGCGTACGGACAGTGCGATCATACATCATTATCGGCCGTTGCCAGGATCACCGCAGCATTATCGTCCGCCACATCCTCCTCCACCCAGTTATAATAGCAATTCCGGCCTATTCTCTAGCATTACAAATAGTTTAAATAGCATATATTCAAATATATTCGGCTGATGTCTTCTCTCTTGCCTTGAAATATTTTTCGATTATCGAGTTTTATTATTAATCGCAATATTTTTCATTATCATTACCATCATTCATGTGGCAAGTTGTGAAAATTTCGACACATTTCAATAAAGTACTCTTACTGCCTTCCTCTTCAATTATATATGTGTATGCAAACATATGGACATACATCTTGTATGTTTTAATAGTTATATAATAATATATTTTTAAGCATATTTTTATTCTTTATATACATATTTATATGTGTATGTATTTTTGAATAGCAATTACAAGCAATATTCAAAAACGTTGTTATTGTTATTGAAGAAAAACAAAATCTAGTATTATTAATGCAATAAATTTAATGCTCCTTTTGTTGTGTGATTAAAGAAATAAATAAAATATGATAAAAATAAAAAAAAAAAAAAAATAACAATTATTAAGCGTTATAAGTATGATCTTCCAAACTATCTCGACTGTAATAGTGAAATTTTCCCTCGATTATCGAAGGCGGGTAGCTTGCAGCTAAAAGTTCACATTCTTGTGCCTGTTTTGGTCAAACAAAGTCAGGAAATGTCTCTAGTACGTAATGAGCAGATTGATGGTTAGAAGGAGTATTAGTAGACGGGGAAATAGAATTTACGTATATTCAATTTGAAAATAGAAAAATCGGGAATGACGGGAATGGATAGGTTGCTCGAAACGCGTAAAGTGCGGTTAAAGACCGACAAACGATAATATGTCGTATGGTATGCGGTTTTTGATTTACTACGGTCTTTTTCCCCTTTAAAAAGCAATAACTTTTTCATTATTTTACAAAACACAACCAGAAGCAGCTAAAACAACTCTAACCTGTAAACTAAATATCGGAATATCATGAAATTTTGACCCATTGATACTGTCTTAAATGAAATATCAACTGGTCAACATCGTTATGTTATCCTACGAACTTATTGAGCGATGTGTTATCATCGTCTTGCATTTTCTTCTCGTGTATTCGATATACATATATATAATATAAATATATATAATAATGCACGATTATACAAATCTTTCCTTCCCTTTCAGCAAAGAAGTCTGAATTTATAAAATTGCATATGTTGAACATACATGTAATGTAATTAAAATGGTAGAGGCAGCCAGGAAGGTAGGTTGTTTATTTCTTAAATGGTAAAAAATTTATTTTTCAATTTCTTATCGTCAACGTTAACGCCAGTGATGAAATTATGCGACAAAATCCATGAAATGCTTTCCCTATCACAAAGTCAGTTATATGAATTAGTTACACAGAAAATACTACGCTGTGTTGCAATTAATGAAATGCGCATACAGCGCAACACTGATTGGAGGTAACCATATCCATATCATTAAATTCAAAGTACAGCAAATTGTCCCTATGGCGAAAAAAAAAGAAAAGAAAAGGAAACCACCTGAACAAATGCCATCGAGAAATTGAAAACAAAGACCAGCTGACACCAATCACTCGACACAATAACCCTTATAATAGCGACTTACATGCATACACATTCTCAATTGCGATATGTGCGTGTTCAACTGCACATAAAAACAGCCGTTAATATACTTGTTCTATATAAAAAAAAAAAAAAAAAATAAAAAAAATTTGTATAATAATTGACCCGAGAGAATAATGTCACACACAGTGAAAATATATTTGAGAATAAATTTTTAATAATTTAAAAATTTTTGTATATTTTATTATATAATTTTTTCGTTAAAAAAAAAAAAAATCTTTCGCTAATTCGTGTTTTACATTTTAAACAATTTAAGCGTATTTTTTTCTTTTTTGGTTTAAAAAAAAGTGAAAAACAACACAATAAACAATTCGACCAAAAAAAAAAAGGTAGCGATTGCTAACGAAGGATTAACACATTATAAAGGTCCTTACCGTCGCATATAATTGCTATTGCCTCGACGAGCGTTCAGTATATCCGGTACTGTGCTTATACAGCGAAGCTATCATGTGTGAGTTCAACGGTAGGAAATTCTACGGATTTTCGATGCAAAATGATCCGGACCTCACAACATCAGCTAAAAATTTTGAATTCAAGGTAAAACGGCCTTTTCAACTATAAAATGCACTCCCTTGCTTATAGAAATTAAAGAAATCTGTAATTTTAGTTAATACGGAATAGATGGTATTTTACGAGCCCGCAAAATGTGTAGATACAAAATTGTATCAATAACACCGAGTCAAATCTTATAGCGTTGGAATTGGAATCCACTTAGCATGGTCGACCTGTTCGTTCCTTCGCCAATGTTTTTCTGCTTTTCTCTCTTTTTCTTTGTTAAGCCAATGCGTAGCTTAGAGATTTAAAAAAATTTTTGATTTTTTTCTTTCATAACCTCTAAATTATGAAAATGCAGACTCACAACGTATAAAGTGGAAGGAAGTATTGCCTTCGATTCATATGTCGTCGTCTTCTCTTTAGGTTTTCATATATATCGCAGTTGTTCACGCACGTAAGTCAAATTTTTTTTTTGGGGGATGAAAGCGGTTTTTTTCTTTTGTTTTTTTTTTTTTTTTTTTTGAATTACAATCAAATCGATTGTAATGACGTGTTCAAATCAGCCTGCCTTAAATGGGTGCGAGCAAACTGTTTTCAGATTTTCTCGATTTCCCTTTAAAGAATCCAAAGGGTCCAAAAATAGACTTCAAATTTTAATTGTGCAGAATTTTGCTTATAGAACATTAAAAACATTTCTCATATCAGGTTACAAAATTCAACTGATTCGGTCTGAAAGGAGATGCTTCTCCATACACATGACAACGTGTCAAATTAAGTCAACGGGTTGTAGATTTTTATTTCGTTACCAAAGCGTATGTTTTATAGACCAGATTTTTTCATCGCTTTAATAAACGAATTGCCATCAGATTCCCATAAACGAAACGAATTATTACCATCAAGCTTTTTCGTTGCATCTATGTTTGGTTCAACCGTCTGTCATTTATTGTTGGAATAGTGATAAGAATGGAAGTAGAAAGCTGAAAGCCCATAATCCAATAGAAATGTTGCTCGATATAAGCAGCAAACTATAATTTGCAAATCCTCACAGATCATCGTTTGGGGCTTCTACGAAAACCATGGTGAGAAACTAGCTTGGCTCGTAATAAGCAATCAATCGGAACTTACTTCTCCTCCTGTGAAAGGTGTTAATCGTGACTCTGCTAAAAGGTGCAAGTCTCGTTAGACTTTTAGCGAAATACGTGCGTCGAACGAATGAAAATGTCGTTAGAAATTAAAGATGATATTTGATTTAGCTTTAGTTGTCCATAAAGTGTTTTGGCAAGTTGAAAAGAGAAAAATTGCATATCACTATGAGCGACTCGATCAGCAGCAGTACGGTGTTGTAGAAATATTTTGCACTTTTCGAAAACAAAAAAACAAAAAAAAAAATGAATGTTAACAGTGTTTCGCACTTATTGTGTATCCGTAGTATATTAGGCCGGAAATGCTTGAGAGAGCTATACAAAAGGTCAACAATCACAATAAGGAAGATTTAAAAAATAAGTCTAAGAATTACAACAACTATTACAACAATTGCGGTCATACACGCGAAGAAGGGGGAGAATATAGTTTGATGCCTGCAGAACCAGATGTTGACTCACATATGACACGTTTCTTGAATGCCGATTACAAACGAGTGCGCAATTTAAGTGACAACGAAGTAGAAAAATTAATCGGCCGAGCTAAAAATAAACCACCAGTTTCGCCTAAAAAGTGCCGAGAAAGCCGTTTACCCGTGCCACATGCAATGCATGAATGCCATCGCGAACATAAAGATACCACCAAAACTAAAAATGCTTTACTTACAAAATATAAGAAAATTATGCGAGAAGAAGCCTGCTGTCAGACAAGTAGCGAAGATTTTGATGCATGCGGCAAATCGACGATGGAGAGAGACTATGCCACGGATAGTGTAGAAACTCATGCCTACTTGGAAGAATATCGGAAACCGAAACCACAATGGGTGGAAATTTTAGAGACGAGTCCGAAAGAACCACGCGTCGAAATGCATATTAGAGATGAATGTCAGCTTGTCGTTCCGCCATGCAAAGAGCAATTCGATTACTTTAGTATGCCATATCAGAACTACGACGCTCATTCCTTGCCGGCAATGCTTATGAATGAAATTGTAGCGGAAAATTTACGCATGGCCGGAACAAAGCATATGAATACCTATGAAGAATCTTCAACGGACAATAATTATATTGTCGAAGATAGCGACTTAGAGTTTGAGTATTATAATCGACCGATGTATACAAAATATTGCAAACCTCGTCCTCCTCTAAAGGATGATTCGTTAACGGCCTCAAATGATGAGGGTGGAGAGCCACATTTCATAGAAGTCGAGGTAAATATTAGATTCAAGTCCCCCTTCTTAGTTTATGTTCCTTGAGTGTTTTTCTTTTTTCGTAGCAGAACGACATAGATTGTTTTGATATGAGTTATATACGCAATGCTTCACCTATACAATTCACTGAAGTCACGGAAGAAACAAATGAGGACGCGGCCGAGGCAACTGAGGTAAGAGATGAAAATAAAAATTGTTAAAAAAAAAATTTTTTTTTAAAATTATTATTACTACATCTGCATCAATTTCAGTTAAAAGTTGATATTAATGTTAGGCAGAAATCCGAAGAGCAGCTAAAAGCTTTACCCGCGCCGCCACCACCACCACCTGATAGTCCCACAACAACGGATAGTAAAAAAGTAACTACGAGTAAGTTGCAATCGAAAAAACGTAAAATACGTAGCGGTCAGCAGCAACAGTCGCAGGCTCGTACGGTCAATAGTGCTAGCTCACGACCAGGTACACCCGTATCACGCTACTGTAGCACAACACCAGATGATTACAGTCCAAAAACGAAAGACACTCATAGCGAATCAAAACCTAATACGCCAACTGCACATCCAGCCGATAAAGATACTGACGAAACGGCTAAGAAGAAAGGCAAAAAGGGTCGATCCAAAAATCTAATAGTCAGTAAATCCATTGAGGACTTGAAAGCCGAAAAAGTTGTCATTTTCAATAAGATGACGAGCACTCAAGAGAAAATTATTGAAGTCTTGGATAAATTGAGGTTAGAATTTTAAAATTTAATTGAAAAAGAACAATTTTTTTTTTGTTCTTTAAACTTTCGCGTGAATGAAAATCGACATGAGTTGATCACAATTATACTTTATATATAAGACGAGAAAGAGTTTTACAGCAATTCTAAGCATTCGTTTTACCTTTGAATCCACCTAACAGTTTTGCTGAATTAAGAGAATAAAAAAATGTTTGTTTTATTTAGATTGAACCTGTTGGAAACAAATATACCAGAAAATGCTTTTGATAAGTCGCGTCGTCAGAAGAATGCTTTCGAGTTTTCAGTTCGATTTTCACGGAACTTTCTTTACCCTCTAAAAGGAATGGTAAGCGAAGAATACAATTATTATCTTTTTAATATCCGCCCGATTCATTTCACTTTCGATCAGATCAATGATTTGAAATTTACCCCCAGCGAGCAGTTCACGAGTCTGACCTCTAATGATGCATGCGCTCGTATATCCAATATCTATACTCTGCTACTTCAATCACTAAATACATATCAGAAACAACTCCGCTATTTTCTATTGGATCACGTACCGCAAAAGCTAACGATACTAATTGAAATGATCTATACAACTACTAGTGCATGCTTGGAGAAGAACATTTTTTCCACTCAAGATGTGGTGATTGATTGTTTGCAGCAACGGTGCTCGAAATTTATCGGTTTTCTTGAAGACATGCATGAGGGACGTTTAAATCACGCCCGTCAAAACTATCGAAAATTGACTTTGGAAAAAGCTCATTCCAAATATGATTTAAAAATGTTCATGAATGATTTAAATATGTACGAACCGAAACTTGTGCCAAAACAATCGCCAGAAAAGTCCTGTTCCAAAAAAAAATCCAAAGTAAGATGAAAAGTTTCTTAACTTAAATTGTCTTATGATCAAAATTTCAATATTTATAGCCAAAGAAAATGTCGAGCGATGTTAATGACGTGGCTATAGAACAATCAATTGAACACATTAAAGAAAAACCAGCTGAAGACGCAATTTCAACTCAAATGCAAGGCTTAGATGATAAGAAAAGTTCAGTATCCTTTTGGAAAATAGCTTCGCAAACTTACTTTAAAGGAAATGATGAGTGCTCACCAGGTACTAGCGGCTCAAGACAACCCAAGACAACAGCAGAAAAAATAGATAAGCAAGTTATTGAAGTTTTACAACATATAACTAAAGAACAAGTTAGACAAGTATTGGCACCAATCTTCGATTCATTGGGTGCCGCTCTTGGCAATCAGGTGAGTTGGTGAAAATACTTTCTCTTCCCTATTTTTGCCTCCATAAAAAAACAAATCAATACCCCTTTTCTATGTCTATTTATATATATATCTATATATATATAAAATAAATAACAACAACAACAACAACAACAACAAATTATAAAATAATAGACGAAATTCCCTAAGGAAGGATTAGAGGTGTTGCTAAAAATATTGAATCCTTCGAGTTGACGATTGTTGTTGATTCTGTTGTGAATTCTTTCTCTTCGTTGTCACGTTCGTTGCCTTCCTTTTAATCAAAAAAAGTAGAAAACAAAAAAAAAAAAAAAAAAAGTTGTAATCATTTGAAATTTTTGTTTAAAATTTTGTGTAAAATTTACCGAAAATAAAAACTGCAAAATTTTGTTAATGATACCTAAAATACTTTGACCTTTTTTATGAAAATAAAACAACATGAAAAAGGATAAGCAGGCTGGGCAGAGGCTTCCTTTGTTCCCTCGTCCCGATGCACACATGTAAATTTAAAGAGAATAAATTTTTAAAATATTTAATTTTTCTTAAAAGTGCATTTAAAACAGTGTCTGCTACGAGGCTTACATGACTGCCGACAAACGGCAGCATAATATAGATAGTATTTTTAGTGCAAATTCTTTACTAAATGGAGAAATGCTCCGGCACGGCCCGAAGAAAACTTTAGAAAGCGCTATGGAAATTTGCAAAGTTAAGCAAGAAAGAAAAAAAAGTCATACGTCTGTAGTCGCGATAGCAAACTATTCAGCGGCCAGGTTTTTTACATAAGCATAAAAAATTTGCTCCAGTTTTATTTTTTCTTATCTGAAAGCGAAACATCAGACTATTGGATATTCAACAACACGTCTTTAGCCAAAATGCTAGATCTAAGAAAGCCGATGTTATCTTGATATCGACTGTCGCTATTATTGAGCATTGCAGAGCTTGATTTCATATATGTCCCTATAGTTAATTTAGGATAGTGATCAGGTCTTTTACACTCGCATCAGTTTTTTCTGAAAGCGTAAAACATCAGATTCTGATTGGCTGTTCAGCAGCACGTCTTAGCGAAAATGTTAGATCTAAGAAAGCATCAAAGTCCCTACAGTTAATTTACTAAGGCAAAAATTTCGCTATGACCGAAATTTCGTTAAAAAGTAATCATAAAATCTTCATCCGTATGGCTACAAGCATTTGAACGCTTCCTCACTATATACCATCCTGTTGGATGGTATATATATATTCGAAACTAAAATCGCATACCTACCTAACTATAATTTAGTTTCATTCGAGGATATAATATATACGAGCGGTTTTCAATGCAGGCAGGAATTATATATATAGCGGAAAAGTTGCAATGCAATCTACTTTATGCTGAGTCCAGCGTTTCTTTGACGACGCTTTACAGGATATCTATCGTTGCATTGCGATTAAATGCAAATAAATGAAAAACGTTACATTTGTTTTATTTAAACTTCAAATTTTTTTCTTCATATTCGTATTCAATAAAATTTCCAAAAAAAAAAAAAATATGTCAATAATATCAATAAAAAATTCTAATTCAAACTCAAAAAAAAATATATATATATATATTAAGATAAAAATGATGTAAGCAAAAAAAAAAAAAATAATTAACAAAAATAAGAGAAGTTATTTATATATATAAAAAAAAAAAATGCCTTGAATTGATAGGGTATTTCTATTAAACAAGAACGTGCTCTATTAAAAAATGATGCGGATTGTTTCGATTTATATATATATATATATATGTAAACAAGTAAAAAAAAAAATGTAAAATGTTTGCGTAGATTTTTGTTGTTTACCGAGTAGAAAAAAACCGGTATACTTGTGGTCATGTTGGATTGATGATCATTTCTAGCCTCGATCTGCATATTGTTTGTTTTGTTTGTTTGTCTCTCCAAACTATTTGACATTCAATTTAAAAAAAAAAAACTACTTATATATATATATATACATATAAATATATATATATATATATATATATATATATATATATATATAGGAGAGGCGAGAAAAAATGTCGTCTACTAATAACTAAAAATGTTCGTTGTTTTCTTTTAATCAAATAAAAAAAAATAGCGAGATTTTTAATTATCCTAAGCGGTACACTCGGTGCAAACGGGCTTGTTTTCTTCCACAGTAAATGTAGCGGCGGTTATAGGATTTGCGCATTTCTATATAGAAAGGAAATAAAGATTAATTCATGATACTTCTTGTTCATTACTGCAAAGGCATATATTTTAAAAAATACTTACTTTACACTTGAAACATTCTCTATGCCATTTGGCGTCAAGTGCGACTATAGCGTTTTCCGTAATTGGTTTGGTGCAACCAGCGCAACGGGCAGCAAATAATTGTTCGAAATCATTCTTGCAGTAAGCTTTGCCTTCGCGTTCATAGAATGACGAGCCCACCAAGGGTTTCCGGCAAGGTCCGTCACAGCAGAAACACTGCTCATGCCAAGTCTGACCCAAAGCTTTAATAGTACGCTTTAAAAAATATGCATAAACAATAAGTTATTCACTGCTTTCTAAATGCGTGCGTATAAGAAAAACGTTTCAATGGCTTTTGCTTTCACACTTTTTTATTCTACTTTTACAAAAAAAAAAAAAAAACAAAATAATAATTTTTCTCTTAGATTCCCTGAAGATAATTTATTCAAGAGTTATGCTTGATTTACTTAAGCTATTATTTATTTTCTGCTTTTACCACACAAAGCAATTTATTTATTCAATACGTAGAAGCCTAACTAATCTTGAATATCATGTTCGGGAAAAAAATTATAGAACCTAGAGAGTACATCTGTTTCCCTGTGAAACGATCTTACGAGTTTCTTGCGATTTTCTCAACATTTTTAGAAAAGGGCAAGAGGACAGCTGTACTGTACAAGAATGAAAAGTATCCAATGGACATATGATAGATTACTGAATGAATACATTAGGCAATAGGCAAGCAACTAATTGAAACAAATTGATCGCATACGAAACGTAATAGCATTAAGAAAGTGTAGGTGGCTCGATCTCCACACATTTGAAACCCCTTCCTGAAGCTGTTATGACGAGCTACACTCTTGCTTTGTCTACTCAGAAAATTTTTATGTCGACTGAGCCGCCTCTCTTGACCTTTAATAATAACACTATTAAAAATCCAATCTCCCTCCTGTTCTCCAACGAAGGGCTGCAAATACTATGCTGTGTGCTAAATAAGACATATGTTGAGTGAGTTGTTGTTTCTAATACCATTCTCCCTGTCGCCCTCAAATTTGAACAGACCTTCCTGACAGCTTGATAGCAAAAATACTGAAAATCGATCAAAGTACACGCCTGCCATCGTTCAAATGGATTTTCCACAAATTTAGTCGCTAAAGTACAAGCGATATGTTGCAATGACGATAAATTTCCTCTTATAGCCTATGGGTGGATTGAACAGTGCCTATACAGAATACTCAATATAGTTGTGGACATGGAAAGATTAAATCGTAACCGTGATAGAATTGTTTCTCACTCTTCTACACTACAGAAGCTCTCACAGATATCAATCGACAATGGTAAATCGACAATACGACTTTAGATAATGGATTTCCTCATCCTAATGTTGAGTAAAGAAAGACTGACGAAGGAAAGGGCTACAAACATCTTTTAAGATAAAGCTCAAAGAAAGACCCAAAAGGGACGTTGACACAAACGATTCTTTCTTATTATCAAATTTTTTGTCTGACGTCAACTTTCCGCTATTTTCAACTACTATCTGTTACTTCTGCTATTTGAAGTTGACCTAATTTCGTTTGGTCTCTCTCTGCTGCCCCTCCTTTCGATTTTTTACTTAGTCTTAGTTGAATTTATGAAACTGCAAACGCATATTAAATATGTTTTAAAATGTAACGGGATAATCATAACATGCAGTATCTAATGCGATTTACCCTATCCGCTATCTGCCGTCTACTACATTAGTATAAGGTCGCCCGGTTTCATAGTATGGTAGGATAGAAACACTTCTTCATCATTGGCTTGCGAGAAAGGATTTCATCAGTTGTCCCTGTCTTTCTCATATGCCATCTTATAATCCTTAACGCGCAACGAGAAGGATATCACTTATTGGGTTTTCCATTTGACCTATTTCTTTCTTGCATGTAACATTTTGTTTTCTTTTTTCCTTTGCGGTTTTTCAATGCAATAAATAATCACGTTTATTGTAAACATGTGCATAATTTCTAAATGGCACTGAAAATAAGCGTAAAGGCTCATTAAATTTTTAATTTCATTATTATCGTTTTCATTTAAATATCGTTGAGAGACTATCAAGTAATGATTCACTCGATTTAAAGCAATAGAAAAAACATAGGAACAAAAAAAAAAACAAAAAATAAATCCAACTTAAAATTTTTGTTTTTTTTTTTGCTTTTTTTTTTTTTGTTTTGTTTTCTTTTTTCATTGTTTTGATAGTATAAAAAAAATAAACGCAAAAAAAGAAAATTGTAATATATTTCGGCTATGGCCGAATTCACTACGTTAAACTTAAACCTCGAATAAAAAATAAATATTAGTCTGTACTCTCTATATGCTATATGTCTCTGTCGCCCATATTTACTTTATTAACCCGGATGAAAGAACTTTTCAATGTTTTTGCCAAATTTTAAATTGGTATCTTCGTATGCTACATATAGACGACATATGGACGGACAGTAGCTGAGAAAGAGAATTAATAATAAGTTCCTAAAATCCCTAAAAACTCTCCTCCTTGATGTTGTGTTGCAAGCAAGCATCCTGACAAAAACATTATACCCCCAAAAAAAAAAAACCAAACCCAACACGCTGGCTATATTTAATAATGTAGGGCTATAGAGAAATCTACTTTCATAACACAGCAAGTGCATCTCAAAGTTACACCTACACAAAATGTAAATTTTATTTACAATTCTGCCTCTGTACAACATATAATAATAGAAATCAAAAACGATGAACTTGAGGAACATTTGAGATGAGAACAATATATACATTCGCTCATATTAGAGGTTTTTACATCGTATTCAATTTTAACAAAAAGAAGAGATAGCTGCCAAGAGTTGAATATTTTCATATTTTTTACTATTAAACAAGGCTTTCGGCGACTATCTTTCTTATCTATCCGCTGTTAAGGGGGTTCGCCGAAAGCCGAAATAAACATTGAAGAGGGAAAAGTTGAAGTTGAGATAAGTGAAAGTTGAAATTTAAATTAAATCTAAGCATTTCATCAATAAGACCGTAAATTATCCCCCCCATCCCACCCTCCCCGTCCACCGCCCCAAGTCAACCACCAACGTTCGGTGATGGGTATGAAAAACGCAATCAGATATCTAGCATATTCATATGCTTGTATGCGCGTATGTGTGTAAATACTATTTATAGGGTAACGAGGTATTTTAAAGTTCCTCTTCACGCAAATGAATATAGTTTTCATAAAATGTATGCATATTGTTAACTAAATCTCGTCAAAGTGCAAATGAGATTAGTCATGGTTTAACTCGGTTAAATTGAAGCCGTAAATGCGTCACAGACGGAATGAGTACAATTACAAAATGTTATGGATGAAAAACTTTCAAGAGCTAGCTAGCTACCAGTAGCTCTCTTCTCTGTCTAGGAAGTAAAATTCCTCAACGAACAAATGAATGAATGAATGAATGAATGAATGGTCGTCTGAAAGAAACCAAGAACCGCCATATTTTTAATTATATAAATAATAAGTTTATATATGATTGCTTGCTTTATAGACTGGTTTTATATAAACGCAACAACTAAGAATATTAAAAATATATGTAGTATTGAACGAAAATGAAAAAAAAAAAAAAAAAATTAATTTCATATATTACTTGCTGCTCTTTGGATTGTTCTTGAATACTTATAATATAATACTGTAGTCTTCTTCTTCTCTTTTGAGACAAACACGCAATAATATGATAATTAAAATTATTGTCAATTATTAAATAATGATAATTTAAATATAATTTAATGGCATTCGAATCTAGTGAGATAACACCACGAACGAACTACAACACATTAGCTCTAGTGCGTTTTAATAATTTATATATATATATATGGACAGAATATCGTATCGAAAGTGATGTCAGGGGCTTCAGTTCTTTTTATTAAATATTTGGAAACTTTACTAGTTCTCTTCCGGTAAATTAATTTACATATATCGTGGTAGGATCATGTCAATCGTTTCTCTTTGTTTTAAACGCATTATTACTCTAACCCGATAACCTTTTTTTTTGTACTCAACAACTTTACTCTATGGGAGATTGAAAAAAAAAACAAATGCAAATAAATACAAATATGTATGCATATACATATATTTTTCCATCTTTTTTTCTATAATTTTATGGAAATTTATATCGTCTATCTACGGCAGTTTATCAGCAACGAGGGAAAAGGAAAGTAAAGGTATTCATTTGTTTGGCCTCCTTGTGTCATTGTCAAGCGAGTGGGAAAACCTTTATTGCACATATCACATAGTTGGGCAGACGGACATGATTAGCTCGATCCCCAATCTGCAACTTGGAAAAAATGTGTACACTTTATGGGGTTTTTAAAGTTTGCTTTTGCGCGTTAAAAGTTTATTGAAAAAAATTACACTTCGATGCACTATAATATAGGGTAGGCGTGGTTAATTTTTTCCATTTTTGTACAACTGTTACAGCATTGCCCATAGTATATGCGTTCAAATTTTTATACACTTATCTGCTGTAGTGTATAAGCAATGCGGGGAAAACACCTCTTGAAAAGCACAGGTGTTTGCAGTTTACGTAATGCTGTGGGCATATCGTTCAAGTGATTTGACCCATTTTCAATACCAACCTGCGTGCAAGAAATTCCAATGTTTCTCCCATATTGAAAGTTGATAGCTTCATTTCTGCGATCAGGAGAATGTCTACAATAGACATTACATAGACGGAGAGACAGACGGACGGACATGCTTAAATCCATTTAGAACTTGATACTGATAATGAGTATATACACTTTATGGCGTCTATCTAAAAGCTTACTTCCGGGTGTCGCAAGCGTTTTGACAAAATGAATATAGTCCCTTAACGGATAAAAATGCGAATCATGAAAATGCAATATGGTTTATCAAACGAAATGAAAGTTGCCGAGTTATCGGCACACAAAAATGTATGTTACACGGTCGTTGCGTGAGGTTCAATAAAATGCACAACTATGTGCACACGTGAGTTTCATGGAGTTCAACGAAATATGCATAAATATACGCACGCGGTAGGTAATGCGTTAAAGAGTAACTATCGTAGCTGCATTATACACGCGTCCGCAATATTATGATTTTTTCATTCATTAAGTCGTAGTAGCCTTGAAAGTTTCAACAAAATATTGACAACAGGAGAGGAGACAACGAGTAAAAGATGTTTGGCTAATGTTTACATGCTGATCAACCTGATGCGTATTCTTTCAACTCTACAAACAAAACATGACAAAATTAGTGTACATTTATAGCACATGTATTATTGTTTAGCTGCGAACATTGCTCCTCTTCGACGAAATACACTCTCAACAATAATTGCAAAGTAATACAAATCGAAAAAGCGAACAAAGGAAATTTGACAAAGTCAAGCACAGCCAACAGTTGCGCATTTCTGAAAACACTTGTAAAAAATAATATCGATTATCGTTAAAAGAAATGTTTTGTGACGGTTGGTTTTGTTAATTCGTTGGCAAAATCCAGCTACTACCGCACTTTTTCTAAAGCAATATGCATAATATGACAGATGCAATGAATCAATTAAAATCTAGCAATAATGCCTGTGTGCGTCTCTTCTACTCCAACTTTTCCTCATACTTTTTATCATACTTTCGAATATATTGCTTTTGCCTTCTGTCTTGCTGTGTGCCTTGTCCTGCTGTCCTGTTTACCATACGACCTGTCACATATGCAAATATATGCTTTTTAGCTTACTTTGTCCGCCTATCTGTCTATCTTCTGTTACGTCGCAGCCAATCTTATCATAAGCCCCCAACCAATGAATTTGATGATTTAGCTTTGCAAGTCGTTTCTTCCAAATTTCTCAAATTCTAATATTCCTCGAAATGCATTTGCCACTGTGAAGATTACTCATAATGCATAATTTTGCATAACGAACTTTCAACTATTCAACTTTTTCCGTCTGTGCGTTGTGAGAGAAACGGGCAGTTGAAGATTCCAGTTACGTCATTTGTAACTAGAGAAACCAAGCCAAGGGGAAGATGCTCTTAAGAAAGACAAGAA